ATCTTGAGGGAGATAATGGCCCCCTGCCGTGAAGTAAACCGACACCCATCCGTTTTGAGGAGAGACGGATTCAGGGTCTTTTCGGTCTAAAAACGACTCTTTTATTAGTACTAAAACAGAGTCGGACCGGCGCCAGTTTTTGGGGTCGTGCGGGTCGTTTTCAGACTCTAAAACAGGGTCGTTTGTTCTATGCGGGTATTTAAATTTTTTTTACTACATACAATTTGTGATGTAAAATCGCAAATTTTTAAGTTTGAGAACAGAAGAATGAAAAAAAAAATACAATTTTTATTCAGTTTTATTTAGCAGCAGGACCTAAAAAATTGACATATATTTTTTAGTTTGCACCAATAACAGTAGAGCCCGCTCAATGGATTCTCTAAAACTAAACCCTATCGCACTTCCTTCCATGCTCTCTCAACGATTTAGTTGCAGCATATGCAAGTGTTTAACTGAGGAATGTTAACGTGGCTCATAATAAACCCATTGATCAAATTACAGTGTTAGGAGAGAGGAAGTGATAAGGGACAGTAATTTTTTTTTGGATTTTATGAAATTCTTTTTGATTGAAAAAAGATTTGACAGATAATAATTCAAATGTTTTTTTTATTAGTTTAAAGTAAGAAAAGCGTACTGCAAAACATTTATCAGCAATAAGACTTAAACTTAAACAACTTTAATTTTGAAATGTAAGCAAAACTTTTTTTACGGAAGTCAATTATAAAATTCATGAATATAATCTTTAAATAATTTAAGATTTCAATAAAGCAATCTCTCTTACAATGATATCAAGTTAACCAATTTCTGAAACATTTTGAATAATTTCTGTTTAAAAAGATCTTCTGATGTTTAGCTGTTAAAACTGAGATTCCTATCACCATTCCCCACCCTCATTTCTAGATGAAGATTTAATAAAACTTAAGAACCCACAAACCAATCTTCATTTATTTCTTCTATCGATGGTAAAATAGCAGTTCAATCATATAAAGAAGAGCATAAAGCCAGAGGTTCGAGAAAAGAACAGATTTGAGAGTTGAGAAATGAAACATGAAAACGACATGACCAACATTTGTTTCATTAAAAATAAAAACAATTATCTCTGCTATCCAATAAAATGAAAGATTGTCTAGTTTGTTTTATAGAAATAGAGAATGGCAATTTTGTCAAATAAAAATAGTTTATTTGCATAAAATAAGAAAAAAAATAAGTTTTATTTAAAATGTTTTATCATAAGTTTTATTTAACAGAGCATTTTTGTTTAATCTCATAAATAAATGTGCACGCTAAGATGCGCGCTCGGTGTAAGCAGTGTTCAATGCTCATTTAATACTGATCGTAGTAAGTAGTGCACTGCAAGGGGGGAGGGTCAGACAGGTTTTGATAAATGTGGAGGGGGGGGGGGAGGTGATAAACATAAACAATTTATTTTCTTCAGATTTTTCTTTACGGTTCACAAGATTTAAAAAATGATCTTACAAAATTTATATGGATAAAAGTAAGATAAAAATACAGAAAAGAAAATTGAGAAAACTTGAATTTCTAGATTTTTAACTCGTATAGTTACTGTGATGTTACTACGCAGTTAGCAATCTTCAAATATCTGAATAGTTGTCTCCCAGACAAAAAAATACCAGTCGTTAATTGATTACAAGCCCCTCCCCCCCCAACATCTTAAACCTCTCTAACACGTACAATATATAGAACGTATATAATTAGATAATCAGTAGACGATAAACAGCAAACAGAAATAGAAAAAAGAAATTAGAATTTTAAGTAGACAACATAGTAAACATCAGACAGCTGTGATGAAAGAGTAAATATCATACATAGACAACAATGTTTACAACACAGTTCTACATAAGACAGTAGACGACAGAGTAAACATCAGACAGTAGAAAACAGAGTAAACATCTGACAGTAGACAAAAAGAGTCGACATCAGACACTAAGCAACAGAGAAGAAAGCAGACAGTAGACATACGTCATATGATAGTAGACTAGACATCAGACAAAAATCTGTTAGAAGTAAAGACTTAAGAGTAAAATATGTTACCCTAGATTTCGGACTGGGGGTAACTTGAGTCTGTTTACTTGTTGTACCAGGGGTGTCACCAGGAGTAGATGGGGCAGAGAGGGTTACAGGGGTTGCAAGGGGGCCCTGGGATTCTCCTAGACAACAATAAGATCAAACCTTTAATAAATGTTCAAATAATTTAATACTAAAATAAAAGTTGTTAAAAACAATATACTGTAATAATTTTATTTTATATCGAGACTAATAATCTGATTTTGAACGACTTGAAATCTTTATTTCAAGAAGTAATTAATCTCTGTTTGTATATCCATTCATTCTTCTTCTCAAAACTTTATTTTGTAGAGTTAGTATTTAACACGATATATATATAATTCGGAAACATTTTACTATGTTCATTCATATCTCATAAAACTCTGGACCGATTGTCTCAAATTTTGATTGTGAAAATCGGTTTTTAGCTTTATTCATTCGTTTTAAGGGAAAACGCTGTTTTAAGCAAAGCTTCAGTCCCAAAGTAAGTTTGTTTATTAATCTTAAACATTTCAACGATCAAATTTGCATTTAATTACTCTTTTATTTTTTAAATTAAAAACAAACAATAATAACCCTTTTATTTTAATTTTTACCTGGCTCCGACATTGTTTTGTAAAGTTTAGACTAGAGATGTGACTAGCTGAGACTCTAGTCTTCAATCTGTAAAGAAAGAATTCTGAACACTGAATGAAAGTTAGGAAAAGGAAATTCAGAGGACAGGATACGGTCATCTTAGAATAACAGGGATGGATATAAACCAGTAAATTTTCAAACTTTTTCAAAATAAACAAACCCCCCCCCACATTCCAGCCTAGCAACAAGGTTTTAACGTTACTCACATATGAACCCAGACACTCAAAAGGAGTTTATACTCACGTCTTACGATTTTATTAGATAATACTTGATCATACCACGAATTAGGATGACTTTGCTCAAATAGCCACATATATTACAAGACATTACTAACGGGACCAAACATTTTACTCTCTTGTTATCGTGTAAACATATTACAAAATTTGTCTAAGATGATATCACGTACATTTTAAAAAGGATTTTACTGTCACGTCAACATATTATACGTTTTTGCTCACATGACCACACCTGCAAATACTCATCTCACTCAATCAAGTAACCACACGTACACAAGACTAGACTCACGTGATATCACGTTCACATTCCAAAAATCTTAATTACATGAAATAAAACACATTCCATTCAAGGAAAAATATTTAAGTAAATAAAATTTTTCTCTATTTCCAGCTCACGTTTCAACATGCACTTTTCGTGACCTTGAGATATGCGTAGTAGTAGTCACGTGAGTGTCTCCAGACAAGATTTTTTCTTTCTACGCAACATATTTACATGTATATGTATATATATATATATAATACCTATAAGNCCTTAATAACAGGATTAAGAAAGGAGATAAAAATACTTACGAGTAGAATTAAATGAAAAATAAGGGAAGGAATTCTAATTGAAAGTTAATAAAGTTTTAGGATCCATTCTTCGTTCACTCCTTACTAAATTTATCTCGCTTAATAATAATTCCCGTCTCCCTCCGTACTTAGCCTGGCCTAATCTTAAAAACATTCAGAATCCTCAAATTTAATAAATATTCCAAATCCTAAAAATATTGCTTAAGAAAATATTCTAAATCCTTGAAATTATTCCCCCAAATCTTCAATATCTTTTTCCCATCCTACTTAAAATTACCGAAAACCATTACAAAAAACTAGTTAAAATTCCTGTCGAATCTATCTCTAGAAGTTAAAGCATATTTCTCAAGAACGACAAATAACCGAAATAAATCAAAAATCATTTATAAACGTGCAGTGCGGTACATAAATACTAAAATCTGGAAAATACAAAGTACAACTACAAACTGGAAAAATGGCTTGGTACATTTCATTGAACAATGCATTGTGATTTACATAACTCCAACCGTGTACTGTACAATGTACATAGATACTACATATTCATGCACATTACAACATACTATTACATCAAAACTGTGCTGGCTACAAAGTACAGTGTACTGTACAATATACATAGAAACTACATATTCATGCACATTACAATGTACATTCACATCAAAACTGTGCTGGCTACAAAGTACAGTGTACTGTTTAAAGTATAAATTAGTTAACTAAATGGAAAAATTTAAAATTAATATCAGAATAATATCTCTATATAAAACCGCAGATGGAAAACATCTTCTGGATTATTTTAATGCCTAAAATAAATAAACGCTACTAGGACTCAAACAAGGACATGTAGAAAATCAATTCTTCAAAACCACTGAAGGAATTTCTTGTCGAAATTTTGATAATTTTTAAAAATAATTTTTCGAAAGTGGCATTCAAAGTAAATTCAAATTACTTTACGGGGTTTGAAATAAAATAATTAAAATGGATAAAATATTTTTTTTTTAAATATGTAACACGGATGAGGCTTGAGAGTAGAGACTATTTGTGAGGGGAAGATGGATGGGTCTGAGTATAGGTCTTGGAGGTCCAGGTTCTCCTGGAGATCGAAGTACGTCTAGTTGTTTGAGATTAAGGAGTAGATCATCCTAGAAAATATATCAAATAGGAAAACTTAACCATTAACAAATAACAAATAAAAAAAAATAAAACGAAGAGTTTAAAAGAACGGACAAAAGAAAACAAGAACTAAAATAAAAAACCTAAAAAACTAAGATAAAAAGCAATACAGGGTGGCCAAAACTTTTTTGAACCCATCCGTACAAAAATCCGTACATTTTCAGAAGAAATCCGTACAATCCGTACAATTTTCGAAAAACAATCCGTACAATCCGTACAATTTTTTTTTAAAAAATCCGTACAATCCGTACATTTTTTTAAACCAATCCGTACATTTTTTTAAAGATCCGTACATTTTTTTAAAAAATCTGTACAATCAGCACAATTTTCGAAAAAAATCCCATTTTTGAAAAAAAAA